TCTTTGTAAGTATGGATGACATTTTTGCCGCTGACAGCTAATTAAATATGTTTGTATAATAATAAGTTGATGGGGTGTGAGGGAAGAAAAAGTGAAAAAAAATTCAAAGAAAACACCTACGGCTTCGATTTATACTAAAAACAATTATGGCAGACATCAGATTACTGGCTCCAGACATAAGCAATGATTTTGACGGTATCTTTTTCTAAAGAACTGTAAAAGCATGCATGTACAAAAAATAATAAACACGTACGATAATACTAGTCTCGGTGTGTAGATAAATGTTCTTCCAAGCAATATAATCGATTTATTGATTACATTTGATAATATTAATTGATAATTTCATCACATTTGGGAAGGTGATTCTCTGTATTTAGTCTGACATGACTATATATATATATGGTCATACATGATATTTTTATAGTTTTATAGTTTGTTTTTATGTTGTACTGTTACACCACTGTCCCCATGTTAGGGGAGGGTTTGGCGCCAACAATAGAATTGAGAGTGGAAACGGGGAATGTGTCTAAGAGATTACAACCCGACCAAAGAGCAGAACACAGCCCAAGGCCACCAATGGGTCTTCAACGCACTGAGAAAATCCCGCACCCGGATGCGGGCTTCAGCTGACCCCTAAACAATGATGTATACTAGTTCAGCGAAATATACGACACACTTATCATCGAAACATATATGAATGAACCAAACTTAAAAAACACACAATACTAACAAAGGCTTTATGTTCCTGACTTGGGACAGGCGCATCAATGCGGCGGGGTTAAACATGTTTTGTGAGATCTCAACTCTCCCCCATACCTCTTGCCATTGTGTAATAAACAAACACACAGCAATACGCACAGTAATCTCAGTTTAAAAGAAGCCCGAGTCCGATGTTAGAAAATGTAACAGAAAAAACTAAGCAAAATGACAACGATCAACGTAACAAAGGACTACTAGCATAAATTATACGAGAAGAACATAACCCATATCATGCCAACAACTGGTCTTAGAATAAATTTGTTTATTTTCGATGCAAAGACCTGATGCATATTAATTCCAAAAAATGGCACCTTTTATGACTTGACAACAGTATCGTAAACTATATCCCTGTTTAAAGGTTTGGTAAGCTTTTGAGGTGAATGACGACATTTTTGTGCTTTGTTTAGAATATTACCATAAAAAATGAGATGTGAAATACCTGAACGTATAAGATGTCTGCATGTTGATTTATATTTACGAATGATGTCCTTGTACTGATGTTAAAATTTAGTACAAGTGTTGACAAGTTTGTGATATCAAAACCCCTGGTGTTATAATTTTTCAGTAAAACAGATATTTCTTTCGTTAACATCAAATACGTTGTTACATCTGGGAACAGTATATCTAACAATATATATGTTCCTGGTTACATACACGAGCGAGTCGAACAAGTTGGGATATTTAAACATTATAAGATGGTGCCAAGGTAACGTCACCATCTACAAATGGATAATTTGTACTGTACTTTCAGAGTGGCTATAATATAACTGAAGTCTGTGCTGGCATTCAAAGGTGGTGTTTAATAATATAAATCAAATGTAAATACGCATACAAAATGTAAATATGCAAACACGCATAAAGAATCAATGTTATGTTAAACAATATGGCATATTAAAACTGAACATCACAGTCACCAAGGCAACGCAATGCCCAAGCACAGAAATCAAAAGGAAGTTAAGGATAAAAAAAATCAAGGAATTTAAGGATAAAAAAATCCTGGAAGTTTAGCAGTTGGAAAGTATGCAAAAAAGTCCCATTTTGTTTGAGATGTAATAAAGTTTGTCAGTAGAGTGTTTGATGTAGCCCCTGTTGCAAGAGGAAACCCAATTGCCTATTGTACAAATTTCTGAGTCTGTGCATCCAGCAGTTGATGCCTAAGTAGCACCGCCTCTACGCAAGCTATGAAACGAGTATTGTGTTGTATCCATTCCGCAACGCACTAAGAGTTTGTGAAGAGTTTTGTCTATGTAGGACTTTGAAAAGGCACAAATCTTACCCTTACTATCACTTAGACCAAAAACGGGTTCTTCTGGTAGTGCAGGCAACATTTTTACCATTCTAGAATAAGCTAGTACCGGACATAGAACACAATCCTCGACTATTTTAAGAGGAATCTGGTGAATACTTTTGTGTTTTTGACTAGTTTTTGACCACTGGATATCGATAATTAATCCTTCCTCAGTAATTTGAATGTCACCTCTGGTTAACTGCTCCTTAGGGTTAAACGTTGTCTTGAATTGTTAGCGAATTGTGATTTTCTAAGCATAGCATGAAAGCTTATCATAATAACAGTCCACAACACAGCATCCTGTACACTTGTCATATTTAGGACTTCATACATACAGTTCAAATGAGATGGTTCAATGGTAATTTTATATTTGGAACATTAGTATTAAGCTTGTCAATACCTGACAAGGTTAGCCTGAGCGAAGGTGAATTAAATTCCTCAGGATCAAAATTTAACAGAATGGCCCAAGTTTTAACACCTGATAAGTAGTTTCTAACGGATCCACTATTTTTAAAATTGTCTGACAAAAAAAAACACATATCCGCAGAGTGTCTCTTGATCAACAGGAAATGCTGATCTACAAAACTTTTCGCAAAACAAAAGGTTTGTACTAAGCTGAGTCCTCAAATTTTTAAAAGTCTGAAAGCTGCTTTTAAAAATGTTCTTGCTTTCCGACGAAGTGATAGCCATTCATCTGATCCGGTTTCTGAAATTAAATGGAAAAGTCTAACTTAAATAAGTTATCCGAAACTTCAATATATATATCTAACATATAATTGTCATCTAAAACAGTAATTCTTTTTTGCTGCATAAGCCTTTGTTGTAAGCTGAACATTAAAACCTTGGACGTGACTGATGCAAGCGACGTGCTTTGCAAAAATCAAAATTGTCATTCCATGAAGCACGACCAGTTTCTATTTCTCGAAGTACATCTTTGTGAAATGCAAGCACATCAGACCATATAAACTGTTCACTGTAAAACATTAGCTGTGTCAGATGTTCAGCACGTGTGTCTCTATATTCGGCGGGTTCAATGTTGTGTATAATGTAGTTTTCTCTTCTGACAAGAGCAGGCAGTTTTCTCCTCTGACAAGAGCAGGCATACTTAATGACATGAACTCGATATCGTCACTCCCAGCAAACTCATGAGGCCATGCAATATGAAAAATAGCCTTATCACTAGCTTTTCTAGATGAACCAGATTTTGAAATGTTTTTATTCATTTTAAGTTTGAACTTAGGATAGTTTAGTGATTCAAATGTTTGTGTGAAATGAATCTCACCTTCTGATTCTGTATCACTATCTGAATCGTCAGACATGAATAATTTGCTCACTAAACCTTTCTGTCTTTCTGTTATTTTCTGTTTCAAGTCTTCGTCTTTTCTCAGGGCGTCTAAATCAATTTTGTTAGTTTGATCATGTTTTTGTTTCAAGTTCAAGTCCGTTTGCTTAAGTTTCTTTTTCAGAGTTTTGTTCTTCTCAACAAGTTCACGTAATTTAAGTTCTTCTAAACGTTTTTCATTCTCGTGCTCTAGAGCTGATAAAGTCTCGTCAAGGCTTTGTTTTGGGGTTTTTGCTACATTAGTTTACCCGCAATGACTGCCAGCGCGCCATTTTCACTTCTAGCGGGGGTGGCAGAAAGATATTCTTAAGACATAGCATTAACACCCTGTCCCTGATTACGTGTATCAAAAGCAAAGTCATAAGAAAGGTTATTTGGACATCGGATCCCCGTTGGTCCTCTATGTTCAGCAACTTTGATGCCACAAGAGCTACAAATCCTTTGGGACATAAAACATGGTTTCTTTTAAATTTGTATAAATTTGTATGTATATTATGTGCTAAATTTATCTCTTTTAAGAAAGAGTTAAGGTGGTGAATCTAAAACATGGAGTACGCCCCGAACAAATTAAACAAAATGACTAGCCATTTTTAACCAATTAACAATATGAAATAAAAAAAAATCATCTCTTTTATCGTAAATTTTAGTATTAAGCTTCCCGTTAAAGTAATAGATATCAAGTTCCAGGAAAGGACAGTGTTCGTTGGTAGTATTAGCTTTATTTAAAGTAAGTTCAACAGGATAAATCTCTTTAGTGTAGATACTGAAGTCATTATTGAGAGCAAATATATCATCCAAATATCTAAAAGTGTCATTAAATTTTTGTATCAGATGTTGTTTCGTTTCGATGGGTCTTTGCTGATTTTAGTCATACATTGACTGTAATTTGTAATTCGACACAATACAGAAATAGGTCCACAATAAGTGAGCCGTTAATACCCATTGTAATTTCGATAACTTAGCGATATACGGTATCTCAAACATGTTTAAACCCACCCAATCTGTATGTGCCTGTCCCAAGTCAGGAGCCTGTAATTCAGTGGTTGTCCTTTGTTGCTGTATATCATATTTGTTTTTCATTTTTTTTTGTTTTGTACCTAAATCAGGCCGTAACGGTTTTCTTGTTTGAATTATTTTACATTTATCATTTTGGGGCTTGTTAAGCTTACTATGCGGTATTGGTTTTGTTCATACTGTGACTTGTAGTTGTTAATTTCTGTATCATTTGGTCTCTTGTGGAGAGTTATCTCATTTGCAATCATACCACATCTTCTTATTAGAGATTTACGGAAAGTCTCGGTACTGACTGTTGACACTGACTTTGACAGGTAAAATGAAAGGGGTCGTCTCAAATGTGAGTTTTACGGCGCAATTGATTCATAAGGAATTTTTGTTCAATAAAACCAATTTATTGCTCCACAGGCAAAAACAGCAAAATTTGAAGTCAGAGTTTTCTTCATAGCACAATTTAACTTGTTGTATCGCCAAGTTCATAGACATAATATATGACGCCAGATAAGTACTTTTTAATGATTTTCTGCAACTACAATGATATAGTGTACAAATAAAAAAAAAAAACGTTTTCTGATAGAAATATTTCCTGTTCTACAGATACGAAAATTAAGGGAAGTTTAGTTAACCAGCGGAGAAGGGGGAGCAGGAACAGATAATCAGTGCTGATAAAAATTACTTGAAAATTTGTGCCAACCAATTAGTCTAAGAGGCTTTGTGGCCATTCTGACAACCTTCATTGGCCATCGGACACAATTTTGGAAAATGGCAGCCTAGAGGAATGTCTATCAAGTTTGGTTTGAATGGGCCAATCAGTTTTTGCCGAAACTTTGTCAACCAATTACAGGTTATGGTAGCCACGTTTATAAATTTGTCGAAATAATCAGTTGCAGTTTTGGCGGAGGATCATTCCAGAAACATTTCTACCATCTAATTTCATACCTACATTTCGTAGTTTTTGACGAGATGTCGACCGCCCAAGGGCTTTGATGGCCATTTTTTTAAATTGGATATGGCTGTCAGATAAAATGTTTGTAGTGAACCAGAGAACGAGCATTTCTATGCGGGTCATTTAAAGAAAAATATCGCAATTGCAAAATTTACTTTAAACTATAGTAACAGGGTAGACAGTAACACTATAGACAAATTTCTATATTTATGAATGCTGTTGTGAAATAACTATACTCCATGTGTTGCAGTGATAATAGTTTTCTTCTGCGGGCTTTGTTTCCAACACATAATTACATTTGTATTGTTGTCATTTATAAATTTGTTGGCAACAGCATAGACATGACAAAAGGGTACGCACTTATTTTTTTTACCCAAGATTTTGAATCCTTTGTCTTCGCTGTGATGTAAGAAAAGTGTTGTGTGTACATTTTTTAGGATCTTTGTGCTTTTAAATCATTACTAAATAGTTTAATATCCAAAAGGTATAAAATAATTTACCGGTTGATCTAGTATCGGTAACAGGATAGATATGCATTTCATGAACGTCGATTGAAATTAGCTTGTAAAAAAACGTGTTACATAGAATGATAAAGGAACTGTGATACATGTATGTCATTAAAGTCTATATTAACATTCTATAATAGTTCATTTTGCAGATTTCAAGGCAATCAGAAAAACCAGCAAAAAAATAATATGAAATCTGTTACCCTGACACTGCATGTACGCCTATAAATTACGTATAAAACTTACTTAAATATTATATTTTAATCACATATAAATGGATCTAATAAATCGTGTTTGTTATTGATTTAAAAACTCATAAATGCTACAATTCTTCATCTAAACACTTACAACTACGTTTTTCATTCAAAATACAAATTTTAGACTAGGTGTACTGAATTTTGTTTTAAATGACCCATACACTAAGTTTGATCAAATACTTTTTAAGCCTGAATAGACAACGGACAACAACGGATGCCTAGTGATCATGGCAATAACTCGTATACCTTTCAACAAAAGGGGGATATGATTTGTGAAATTGTATTTAACAGTTTATTGTTTTATTCCAACAGGAATTTGCAACTTTTACCTTGAAATGCAAATTGTTTACTACATTTTTGTCCCCCGCGTAACTCGTTGCAGGGGACATGGAAATACCGGGCGTCTGTCCGTCCGTCCGGTCTTGTTAGCGCTCTCACAGGTATAATTCTTGCCAGATTTTTATAAAACTTTTACTATAGGTTCATATCAGCAATATCTGGGACAAGTTCTATAATGGTGGTCGATCGACTTATTATACGACCGCAAAAAAATTTTGCGGTCGTATATTGGTATGACGTTGGCGTCGTCGTCGTCGTCGTTGTCGTCGTCGTCCGGCGTCGTCGTCGTCGTCCGAAGACACATTGGTTTTCGCACTCTAACTTTAGTTTAAGTACAATAAGTTCAATACCACAAAAGGAAGGTGGGGATTGATTTTGGGGGTAATGGTACCAACAGTTAAGGAATTTGGGGCCAAAAAGGGGCCAAAAATAAGCATTTTTGTAACTTCCAGACATAACTTGTGTGTTAGTGTGTTAGTGTATGGATCTCTCTGACATTGTACCACAAGGTTCAATATCACAAAGGGAATGCTGGGATTGATTTTGGGCGTAATTGCCTCCAAATTTTAGAAATTAGGGGCCAAAAAGGGGCAAAAAACAAGCAGTTTTCTAGTTTCATGACAATAACTTATGTGTTAGTGTATGGATCTTTATGAAATTGTACTACAAGGTTCCATATCACAAAGGGAAAGCTGGAATTGAGTTTGGGGTAATTGCCCAAAACGTTTAGGAATAAGGGGCCAAAAAGGGGCCAAAAATAAGCATTTTTCTAGTTTCCAGACAATAACTTGTGTTCAAGTGTAAGGATCTCTCTGAAATTGTACTGCAAGGTACCATACCACAAAGGAAAGGCTGGGATTGATTTTGGGGGTAATTGCCTTAAAACTTTAGGAATTAGGGGCCAAAAAGGGGCAAAAAAACAAGCATTTTTCTAGTTTCAGGACAATAACTTGTGTGTAAGTGTATGGATCTTTATGAAATTGTACTAAAAGGTTCCATATCACAAAGGGAAAGCTGGGTTTGAGTTTGGGGGTAATTGCCATAAACGTTTAGGAATTTGGGGCCAAAAGGGGCAAAAAAACAAGCATTTTTCTAGTTTCCAGACAATTATAACTTGTGTTCAAGTGTATGGATCTCTCTGAAATTGTACTGCAAGGTACCATACCACAAAGGGAAAGCTGGGATTGAGTTTGGGGGTGATGAATCATAAAGGGGTTCAAAAAATTTGGTGGGGGGATTTTTTTTCCTTTTTTTTCTTTAAAATTTTTCCATTTTAAATTGGTTATTTCTGATTTATATATAAAAGCAAATAATAATGATATGGTTTGAATAGGTAAATTAAAAATTGCTAAGTTCTTAGACCACATTCATTCAGTGTCAGAAACCTATGCTGTGTCAAATATTTAATTACAATCCAAATTCAGTGCTGTATCAAGCTTGAATGTTGTGTCCATACTTGCCCCAACTGTTCAGGTTTCGACCTCTGCGGTCGTATCAAGCTGCTCCCCAGCGGATCATTTTATTTTTAAAAGAGTTTTGCCCTCGGAAATGTTAAATTTATGGAAAATGGCCTCGTTAGCGCTCTCACGGGTACAATTCTTGCCAGATTTTTATAAAACTTATACTATAGGTTAATATCAGCAATATCTCAAACAAGTTGTATAATGGTGGACGATCGACTTTTTTGTCGAGCCTTCGACTTTTGTCGAAAAAGCGAGACATAGTGATCCTACATTTCGTCGGCGTCGGCGTCGTCGTCGTCGTCGTCGGCGGCGGCGTCCACAAATATTCACTCTGTGGTTAAAGTTTTTGAAATTTTAATAACTTTCTTAAACTATCCTGGATTTCTACCAAACTTGGACAGAAGCTTGTCTATGATCATAAGATAATATTCAAAAGTAAATTTTGTAAAAAAAAAATTCCATTTTTTCCGTATTTTACTTATAAATGGACTTAGTTTTTCTGCCAAGAAACATTACATTCACTCTGTGGTTAAAGTTTTTGAAATTTTAACAACTTTCTTAAACTATCCTGGATTTGTACCAAACTTGGAAAGAAGCTTGTTTATGATCATAAGATAGTATCCAGAAGTAAATTTTGTAAAAAAAAAATTCCATTTTTTCCGTATTTTACTTATAAATGGACTTAGTTTTTCTGCCAGTTAACATTACATTCACTCTGTGGTTAAAGTTTTTAAAATTTTAACAACTTTCTTAAACTATCCTGGATTTGTACCAAACTTGGACAGAAGCTTGTTTATGATTAAAAGCTAGTATCTAGAAGGAAATTTTGTTAAAATTTTGTTCCATTTTTTCCGTATTTTACTTATAAATGGACTTAGTTTTTCTTCCAGTTAACATTACATACAGTCTGCAGTTTAAGTTTTTAAAACATTTATTAGATTCATAAACTATCCTGGATTTTTACAAAACTTGGACAGAAGCTACTTACAATCAAAAGATAGTATAGAGAGGAATATTTTTATTAATTTTTTTCCTCATTTTTGTTGAGCCTGTGATTAACAGCAAAAGTAGGCGAGACACTGGGTTCCGCGGAACCCTTACGAATTTTTTAAAAGAGTTATGACCTTTGGAAATATAAAATTTATGGAAAATGGCCTCGTTAGCGCTCTCACGGGTACAGTTCTTGCCAGATTTTTATAAAACTTATACTATAGGTTAATATCAGCAATATCTCAAACAAGTTGTATAATGGTGGACGATCGACTTTTTTTAAAAGAGTTATGACCTTTGGAAATATAAAATTTATGGAAAATGGCCTCGTTAGCGCTCTCACGGGTACAGTTCTTGCCAGATTTTTATAAAACTTATACTATAGGTTAATATCAGCAATATCTCAAACAAGTTGTATAATGGTGGACGATCGACTTTTTTTAAAAGAGTTATGACCTTTGGAAATATAAAATTTATGGAAAATGGCCTCGTTAGCGCTCTCACGGGTACAATTCTTGCCAGATTTTTATAAAACTTATACTAAAAAAAACTTTTTTTTTCCCCCGCGCACGCTTTTTATTTATAAATTGTTTTAAAGAACAACAAAAAAAAAAGTTTTTTTTTTAGTTATTGCCCCTGGGTATATAAAATATGTGCAACGCGGGGGACATTGGAACTTATTTAATTTTGGAGACGATCCACTTCATTTTTCCTGTCGGAGTTGGTGATACCGAGACTTTCCGTAAATGTCTAGTTATATATTTTGCCTTTCGATGGTACATCCCCTTCCAAATGGCGAAAAGGGGAGAAGAGATCAATGCCATTTATCTTTTTGTTTGTTTGTTTGTTTGATTTGAACTATCAATAACAAGTATTTTGTAACAGTTTTTTTAAATACCAAACAATTTCGCACGTTCTGCTTTCCTTTAATAACCCAATCAGGAGTGAAAGCAAAATAACATCTATCTTCACGACAACCATATTTACATATGTATATGTCAAAAGTTATATCGACGTCGTTGATGATATAATATACTGTCTTATGTGACCATCTAGCGTTCTACATTTTATGTTTTGTTACGCTAATGATTATCAATAGAAGAAAATTGGTCGATTTTTAAAAAAATCCCGACACGTTTTCCGTATTATAACCATTTTCACAATATGTGCCTGTATTGTCCATTGTCATCTGATTTTTTTATATCTTCTTAAGTTATAAATATTTTGAACTTGCATAAAACCCCATACATCCATCCAGTTTCACTGGAGTCAACAACCGATGCGTTCAATCTTTTTGTCTCGCCTTGTTGGAGTAAAAAACCCGAGACTTAAGTAAGCTGTGTATAGAGACTACAATTTGTTAAAGTTTGTGATTATGTCAGTTTAAGGGGAACCACTAATGGTAAATAAATGATATTTGGTATGCAGGGGGCGGGTGGGGTGGGAGAGGGATGGTGTGACGAACAAACGTTTTCCTGATTTTATCAAAAACAATTTATTTGATTTTAAAAAAAACTCAATGATATATATCCCCAACAAGCTATTTGCTTTCTTCTTCCTTCTGAAACAATTTGTTTTTCTTCAAGGAAAATTTGAATCAAACAGATAACCTCAACACACACCAACCTATAAAGTAACGGTAAGTATCTTAAATGTATCAGATCTTGCCTGTTCAAATTAAATTGGCGCAAATGATTTTTTTTTTTTTTTTTCAAAATTGGCGCAAATGTCATACGCCCAAAATAAATACTAATATAAGTATCGGACTTATATTGCAGGCACTGTAACAAAGTAGATTAAACATATATAATTTGTACACTCAGAGGCACTGCAACAAAGTAGTTTAAACATATATGATTTGTACACTCAGAGACTAGTCGAGTATAAAGCCAATTAAATAGAAGATGCACTTTTTTTTTTAAATATTAACTGATAATTATCATACAACTGATTACTTATCATACAAGAGACACCAAATTTGTCTTTACTTTCTTTTTTAAATGGATATTAATGATCATTAATATATTCAGACATTCGAAATAAATTATTAAAAAATCTTAGCTGGCTCTCAAATGAATATCCATTAAATATAGAACTATTAAAGGGGCATTAGCTGTCAAATACATGTTCACCGATTTGATTTATACGATACTAAAACGTATATCCAAATTACAAAAAAGTCTTCCGATAAACAATTAACAATGCATGGACTCAATAATACGTATTAACAGTTGGTGCA